TCATGTGCCTGAGGCGCTGCCGCTTTGATGTGCAATGACAATCCGGTTCTTCGAAAAATGGCTCCTAGGGCAGGTTCGCTGTCGACCAAAACTTCAACTGTCATGGAACTTGTCTCATCGACTCCGAGCTGACGGAAAAATTGTTTGATGTCGGAAATGGTTCGATCGGGATTGGAGTCGATGCTTGCAATACCTAGAAGACCTGTTCCGGAGTCACTCATGACCAAAATCTTATGGGAATCCATGAACATGTGATCAGCTTGAACAAGAAGCATCTTATGGTCTTTGGGGGATCGTCCATGGTCCGTGACTCTAGGATGTCGAATGACAGATCGACTTCGCTGACAGTGCGTACACCTGCTGTCAAAGGGCAAATGGCCCCTTCTCCTGTGGAGGCTCAACTCGACTTCTGCTTTACGATTCAGTTGCTTGTAGCTCGACGGTGCTTGCTCAGGCTCTGAGTCTGGATGCACCGGTCGTGGATGCTCTTGATCTGCTTCGAACTCACCTGAATCCGGAAGGGGTACATCAACAGGCATGGGATCATGTGCTGCCATCGCATGGCTTGCTTTCGTGACTGACTTCGGAAGTGGATTGGGCTCATACAAACAAATCTCTGGGTTCTCTGAAAATTGCAAAACTTTGACATGACCTGATTGATGACCTTTGGTGGATTCCATGCGAAACGATGTGTCCGACGATGGTGTGTACCGAGCTTTTCCCAACGGGCTCCGAGAACCCTGGTTCGAAGGACTCGAATCTGACCAAGCTTCAAGAATTTGAGCTTCCATATCGATGTCTTCCTTCGCCGCTCGGCCGCGACGCTGATGAGCTCGAACCCAAGGAACGTTGGCCCAGATCGAGCACTGCATCCTCCGGATGTCGGAAACACGGATGAAACAATCTTCCGGGCCGAATTCAAATGTGGCACCCATTCTCGTGAGACTGTGAACGCTCAACAAATTGTGCTCTACTGGTCCGATGACAGCCCTGACTTCATATCGAACAAGTTTGGACTTCTCATGATCGTCATACTCTATACATGTGGGGAAAAAAACTTCCAACATGCATTCGCGTCCAATTGCAACTTGTTCACCAGAAGCTGTTCTAAATTGAATGGGGCTCTGCAATTCGCGCTCACGAATGACTTTGTACGCTTTCAATGCATGTGCTGACACGACAGTGCGACTAGCACCTGAGTCTACAAGCCAAAGAAAGGGGTCGTGATCTTCAGTGGATTGGCAAATGAAGAACGGGCTCACGGAACGAACGATAGGATCGGAAGCGAACATCGACAAACGGCCACCTTCCTCGATATCTGGTTCGGACCAGATCTCACTTCCTGCCTCGGACTCTGGTTGCTGAGAGAATTCTGTGGCACGCTTACCCTTTGTCTTCCCTTTGGATCCTTTCTCCCCTTTCTTCCCTTTATCCTTTCCTTTACCTCCCTTGGGGTCTCCCTTTGAACTCTTGTCGTAGCTTCCTTTGCCCTTTTGCTTCTTAGGACAGTCAGTGGCAAGATGGCCACGTTCATTACAATGGAAGCATGTGCGTGTCTCGGATCCTACTCCTTTTCCTTTGGCATATCCTGAGTGATCCTTCCCTCCTTTTGGCTGTGGTCCTCCTTTGCCTTTCTTCCGTTTGTCCTTCCCTTTTCCTCCCTTTGGATCCTGGCCTGAGAGCGATGCGATCGGCTTGCCATTAAGATCTGACCAGATGCGCTGCTGTGCTTCATACCGAAGGGCGCAATCAACATAAGTCTGGAAGGACTCATCAGGTGAGTTGAGAACAATCCATTGACGACACGGTTGCGGCAAGGCCCTAAGAAGGATCAGTACTTTGTCGGCTTCGACGAACTCTAAGCCTTTGACATTTACGGATGGATCTACCAGTTGTGCAATTCTTTCATACTGGAACAGTTCTGATTGGATCTTTCTGACAACTTCGGGAATTGTGGGCGCTGAGATTGTGCTGTTTGCCAGTTGTGTCCTAAAAAACAGTAGTTCCGTTCTTGTTTTGACGGAAAATTCTCTGGCAATGAGACGAAGGCATTCAAACCCGCAGCACCTATTATACCCCTTTGACTCCTCATAGTTCCTAATCACTAGATTTGCACGTGCATGATTGCTGAAACACAGTTTCAAGATACTTAGTAACCTGATTGATTGTGTGATTTGGCTTGGTTGAAGCCGGTGCCAACCGAGAGGCTCGACCTCCTTGATGCACATTAAGATCTCGGCGGGATAGGCATTGCTGCCTAGGCCAGTCCAACTGGCCAGAGTCGTCAACCAGTTCAAGAAACCTGTGATCTCTCCAGCTCGGGTTTTCCATTCGTCCACTGATGGGGTCGGAACATATGGCATCCATTTCTCACTCCTCTTAAAGGGATTGTCCTCTACTTGGT